TCTGTGAACCTGGCCCAAATGTTTTCTTCCTCTGTCAACTGTCAGTTGCAAAAGGACATAGGTGTGGGCTGCGAGAGAATCAAAATGCAGCAAGAGGAGATGCTACGGGAGTCTGAGCTAACCTACTCATAAAACTACTTGCGTCTTCAGGACGTCCTCGACCCCAACCTGGTATACACTATTTACAATGGATGACGGATTGCTGCTGTGCATGCCCAACCCTACAGCCTAGTGGATCAGTATATTAGTTATTTAAAAACTGCCCCAGAACTTAGCAACGCCCATTTGTTATCTCACACGGAGGATCTGGCTCAGGGTCTCTCAAGAGGCTGAAGTCAAGCTGTCAGCCAGCGCTGAAGTCACCTCAAGCTTAACTAGCCAGGCTATAGGCCAGGGTTTCTCAAGTGGGAACATGAGGATATTCGGCAATCTGTAGACATTTTTGGTTGCCACAACTGGGGTAGCCTAATGCTGGAATCTAGTGGGTAGAGGCCAGAGACCCTGCTAAACATTCTGTAAGTCTCAGGATAGCCTCCCACATCTAAGAAGTAGCTGTCCCCAAAATGTCAAGAGTGCTGAAGTTGAGAAACCCCACTAGTGAGCCTTCTTTTGCCCTGCTTCCAACCCAAAACTGGCAGCCTTGTGTGTTACACAAAACATTGCCATGGATAATATACTCAAAAAGTATACATGTTCTCTCAAAAATCAAAAGAGGTGGTGCAAAACATGGTAGTTCTTTCTCAGTGGCAGGTGGTGGTGCAAAGTATAGCCATTTGCCTTTCACTTTGGAGAGGAAATGTCAAATTTCCCAGACTACTGGACCCCTGGAAACTCCACTGGGGAGTAAGCCTTTGATTTTTCTTGGGGTTTATCTCCCACCCTCTGGCATACATATGTCTTACTAAGGTATCTAGGGTACCAGCTCCGTCCTGCTCACCATGTCAATAACACATCAGCATGCTGTTCTGGGGGAATCTCAGGATGCTCAAGGCCCCAGCAGATCAGAGCTTGTCAGAAAGCAGAAGAGCCAACATGGGCTTGAGGTAGGACACTAAGGGTGTTTTCCTGATCCTGCTAATTGAAAGCAAACCCCTGCTGGTAATCTTTGCTAATTTGGTAATGAGGGGGAAAAAAAAAAAAAAAGCATCTGCCAGATCAACAGCTGCATACAAAGTGCCAGGAGCACTGTTGTGTCATCCAGTAAAGAGACGACATCTGGTCCAGTACCCGAATAATTTTCCAAGAACCCACAGCCATTCCCCAACAAGCATCTCACTTCTGCACGTGCCACCCAGATGAGTTAAATGAGGGTATGGCAGAACGACCGCTGCATTGTTCAAGCGTTAGGTGGGAATACTGCTCCCTGCAATCCGCTCCCCCCCCGCCCGCCCCAAGGATAGAGTATTGCTCTCAGTTTACCCTCATTTAGGAAGGGCAAATTCCAGGAAGCTTCTGTGAGGCCATGCCTGCTATCCTAAGGCCCACTACTAGGGTTAGGGAATCAATATGGGGAGTTCCTTGAGTTGCAGGAGACCTAATACAGATGTATTCAGGAGGAGGAAAATAACCATATGTGGATCAAGGGCCCCACTGGAACCCTGCGAGGCAAGCACAGGCCAAAATTTCATTTATCCCCAGATGACCACAAGTGACATCCATCCCCAGTGGTCCAGAGGCATTTGGGGCCTCTGGAGGTTAGCACTGCCTCAGAACCAATGTCCAGAAAGCCCCTCAAGGTCCGGCTATTCCCCGTTCCCCAGTCTACAGTCACCCCAGCAAATGGCTGCAAGTCTTTGGGGAAAGACTTAAAGGAAGATTTACGCTAAAAGCTCATAGCAGTGTTGTCCAGCCCCTTCTTGGAGGCTTCTTGGCCCCTTCTTCTTCTGTGGCTACACTTCACAAACCTGAGCATGCATCAGGGCCACCTGAAGGTCTTGCCCAAACACAGACTCCTGGACCCGCGTCCAGAGTATGTGTGTCAGTAGGGCTGGCAGGGCCGGAAAACCTGTGTTTATCACAAATGCCCACGTGAGGCTGCTGCTACTGCTATTCCTTGGCCACAGTTTGAGAACCAGCGCTCTGAGGATCCCTATGTCTTTGCACTGATTCAGGTCTGGGACGTGCGTGACGGTCTAGGACCCTCCAGCCAACAACTCAGGTTTCTGTTCCCTAGACCTAGAGATTTTCCAATTACATAAATAAAGTAATTCTTAGGAGACTGCCTATCTATTTTGGTTCTAGGGTCACTGAGAACGAGTAGCCAACATTAAAGATCCCTGGGTGCTAAAATACTCTGCTTGCTGCTTCAGGCCCCCTAGGCCCATGACAATAACATCACCTACCTTGCTTCTAGGTCAGGGCTGCCATTTGGCTCTGCCCCTACGGAAGCCTGTCATCCACTGAAATCAAGAAGTCTACTTTAATGAAGACATCTTTTCCCATTGATGGGTCTCTGAAGAACCCCTGAACCAGAATGAGAGCTCAAAACATCTCCCAAGTCTGGAGAAGCTTGACCGCAATAATATCAATCAAGAAAGACCTTTCCCATGGCTACCATCTGTCTCCCCAAATTCCATCCTGGAGGGACCAGAGACCATGGTTAGCATGGTGGGGTCATAGGGTAGAAGCACTGCACGGGCAAAGAGAGAAGAAACTGATCCCAACCCCATCCCTACTGAAGGCTTCTCGCTTGCTTAAGGTACAGAGAAGGAGGCTTGTCTGCAAAGCAAGGTTTTTATTATTACATGGAATTTAATTACTAAAATAAGAATATGTTTTATGACTGGAGATCCATTTATATGACTTTAAGAGTGACTAGAGAACTCAGGAGTCTGCCTGAGTTTCCATCCAGGTGATGGTAAAGAAATATCCATGGAGTGGCTTATAAAAGACACTGGGAAATACAAGTAAGGTGGCTTTGTTATTGGACCCTCTAAGACCTGCTTGTTCAATGTACAGGCTACAATGCCAAATGATGTGGAAATGCACAGAGGTGGTTATATCTCCATAGAGAAGGCAGGAGATAAAAGAGCATGCTCCCAGACACAGCCAAGCCCTCTCAGTTCCCCAAAGGACCACAGAGACAGGCAGCTGTGGATGGCACCATCATGAGCAGTGAGGATTCCACCAGAGCCTAGAAGCACATTCATGGGTTTTTATACCTCCCTGGCCCTCCTTCACCCCTGATTGTCCCAGAGACTCTGCGAATGTGCCTACACACTCGTGGAGTGTTCACCAGGAGACTGAGTGAATTGCCTTGAAAGACAAGTTCATGGGAATATCCTAGAGGAGGCTCAGGCTTTAGATCTGCCCGAGTTTCATTCCTGAAAGTCCCCCAAACCATTCATTGGAAAGTGTATCATTTCTTCTCTTTTTAGTAAACGATAAAACAAGTATTTTAAATAGAGCGTCTCAATATATAGATAAGTGCATTTCTAGACTCTGTTCTCTTCCTTGGATGCACTAGCCTATGCCTGCACTGGCACCAGAACAGCAAAAAGGCAAGTGGGGCTGGAGTGAAGTGAGAGGGGGAAGAGAAGAACAGGAGAGCTCAGAGAGGAATGTGCTCGGGGGTGGGAGGAGATCCACATTGGGCCTTTAAACTGTGAGTGAGCCACTGCAGGGTTTTGAGCCGAGGGTGAAGTGATCTGATAGGTGTTAACAGGATGACTCCAGCTGTTGGATTGTGCTTCGGAGGATGGGCTGCAGGGCGCATGAGTGCAAGCAGGAAGCTACTGAAATAATCTAGGTGAGAAATGACAGCTTCCTGGACCAGGATGCTGGAGGTGGAAGTGATGAGAAGGGTGAGAATTTGGGTATCTTCTGAGGGTGGAGCCAGCAAGCCTTCCTAATGGATGGGATGTGACGTGTGAACAAAAGAGTGAGGTCAAGAATGATTCCAAGGTTCTTGTGTGAGTAACTGGAAGGATGGAGTGACTATTGCCTAAAATGGGATAGTGTGGGAGGAATAGGTTTTAGGGAAAAGGCCCAATTTTAGACATGTTTGATTTGAAAGATCTCTGATATTCAAGGAGAGATGTCAAGTAGACAGTTTAATACACAAGGCCTGTGTTTAGAAGAGAGATCCAGGCCAGGGACAATTTGAGGTCTTTAAGAAAGACACAGTATCTAATGCCGTGTGGTTAGATAAGATCACCAAAGGAGGGGGCCCAGACAGTGGTGAGATCCAAAGACTGGGACCTGGGGCACCCCAACATCAAGATGTCATGGAGATGGAAAGAAACCAGCAAGGAGAGTGAGAAGGAACAGCTTATATGGTTGGAAGAGAATATGGTATCACCGAAGCCAAAAGAAGACAATGGTCCAAGAAGAATGGATGGATCAGCTCTACCACAGGCTGCAGACAAGAGCAAGATGAAGACCAAGAATTCACCACTGGATGCAGCAGTGGTCATTGGTGACTTGCCGAGAGCAGTTCTGGAAAGTGGTGGGGCTAAAAGTCCTAACCGGAGAAGGTTCAAGACGACAAGGAAGAGAAGTATGAAGAGACAGGAACTGTAGACGTCATTTTTGCAGCACTTTTGCTGCAAAAGGGGGCAGACAAATGGGGTAGTGAGGGAGAGGTCAAGTGGAGTCAATAAGTAGTTTTTTTGTCTTTTAAGATGCAAGAAACGACAGCACGCTCAGATTCCGGTTGGAATGATCCAGTAGAGAGGAGACACTGATGATGTAAGAGGGAAAGGACGAATTGCTAAAGTAATGTATGGGCACCCATCCGGGCAAAGAGGCCCTCTCAAACACTGCAGGGAAGCTGCATACTGGTTCAAGGTTTTCAAAGGGAAATTTGGCATTATATCTCAAAATTACAGATGCACGTATTCTTGGACACAGCATTTTTATTTCCAAGATTCGGTTCTGTAGACATGCTAGCATCTATGTGCAAAGACGTATCTACCTGTTATTTATCAGAACACTGTGTATAATATCAAAAGCCAGGAAAACCTTAAATGTATATTGATAGTGGATGGTTAAATCCATACCTGAAATACCATACAGCACTGGAAATGAGGTTGATCTCCACGTTCTGTTCCAGAAAGTCTCCAAAATGACATAATTGAAAGATACCAAGGTATAGAAGAGTACATGGTATGCTCCCACCTGTGAAAAAAAGCAGGGAATAAGGCGATACGTGGAGTTACATAGAAAACATGTGAATGTACATCGAACATTTCTGAGAGAAGGATTTACTTTCCATTGGATATCCCTTTTCTAAAGCTTCCATTATTTTTAGGAAGTGTACTTACTATTTTTCACTAAAGATTAACACAAAGAGAAAAATATCTTTTCTAGAGAGGAAAAGAGCAAATTTAACAATTCTGGCTGTGCATTATTTTATAAATGTAAAGGACATTTTCTTATACAACATTTATAGGAGAAAAGCTTTTCTCTTCTAGGCTGTTTTGGAAAGTAGTGGGGAAAAAAGCCCTTCTAAATTGATTTTTACTGAACCAGCAATGTCTTTATTCAATACTTTGCAACACTGCAACATAAATTTTCATTATCTATACCCAAGGTAAAAGATTTTTGGTTTCAAAGTGTACTTCTGCTGGGCACACAAGAGGCATCCAATAAAAACTTGCTGGGTTGAATCAGATCACTAATGAGATGAATGTCACTAAGCAAGTGGGAAATGGGATTTAAATACAAAGCACTGAGGCTCCCTTCTCCATATGTTTGTAGGTGTGTATGCCAGTATGTGTACTTAGAATAGATTAGCATCTGTTCTTCTTATTTTCAATTCACTGCACAGAATATGAGGGGGCTATGAATTAAACCAAAAGTCCATCTTGATGCAATTTAGCAAACCATTTAATCATATCATTTAACGATTAAGAAATTATCAGGTAGGGGTGGAAATGAAAATGAAGGGAAGACCCATCTCCAGAAGCAGAAATTATTCCTGAGATTGCAGTCTTACAATGCACCTATCCTGTGTTAAGAGGGTATTTTACACATAAAGGTACTCGAATTAATAGTTCTTAAAAATAAAGAAGGAGGGCGCCTGGGTGGCTCAGTTGGTTAAGCGACTGCCTTCGGCTCAGGTCATGATCCTGGAGTCCCAGGATCGAGTCCCGCATCGGGCTCCCTGCTCAGCAGGGAGTCTGCTTCTCCCTCTGACCCTCCCCCCTCTCATGCTCTCTCTATCTCATTCTCTCTCTCAAATAAATAAATAAAATCTTTTAAAAAAAATAAAGAAAGAAAGAAGGATACCCATTAGGTACTTCTGAACTGGGCAAGTGGAAATTCATCATTTTTAGTGTCTGTCAGCGTGGAATCTCTCGTTTAGTCCTTTCATGAGCCACATTCAAATGGAAGACCACATCGAAGCTCTTGATGGATGACGAGACCTTGAACTGCCTTCTGAAATATCAAGTAAGACCGCATTCCTTTCTACTTTTTAGTAGTAAGCATACTTACCGTAATCAAATCTTTTGAAAACTAGCTCTCTGTGCTACATAATAGCATCGTATATAATAATCCTCTCATTTCTCAACCTTAAGCATTAGGGATTCTCTGCTATTTATTTAAGCTTGTGTGTTTTTTCTTTCCCTGGTTTACTGAATTATTTATTAGTTACACAGTATTCATGCTCTGTGCTAAGTGCCGCTTCTCTCTCCTCTGCAGCTGGAACACAAGTACATACTCTATTTCATTATCAATTTAAAGCTCACCTGAAGCTAAGGAAGTAATCATTCATTGTGATGGAATCACTGGAATGGTTATATATTTTCAAAAACACTAAGATTTTGTTTTTAATGTTGGGTCTATTTGCTGCTTTTTTGTTTGCTAACAGACAATGATATATAGGCTATATATAAAATCTTCACACTGCGATGCAATTATTTGCAGGCAAGATCCACACCTTGACAGGCTTCCAAGATGAAAAAAAGTGAAACTTGGTTCACTGACAAACTGTTCATCTTGAATTCAAACAGTAATTGATTGATGGAGCATTCTCATACCTGTATGCAAGTCTATGCAAGGTGCTATAGACCAGTATTTTTCAAACTTTATAGTGCATACCCATCAACAGGGGATATTGTTACCATGCAGAGGCAGATTCACGGGTCTAGGATGGGACCAGAGATTCTGCATTTTTAATAAGGTCTCAGGTGATGTTGATGCTGCTGGTCCATAGACCTCATCTTGAACAGGAAGGCACAGAGCAATGGTCACCAATCCTGGTTGCACAGTACAAGGGAACCTTAAAGAAACACAGATGTCCAGGTCCCAATTCTGTATCAGAACCTCTGGAGATGAAATTCAAGCCCTGCTTTTTTTTTTTTTTTTAATGTTTCCCAAGTGCTATGCACTGAATGTGTTTCCCCAAATTCATATGCTGAAACCCTCATTCCCAACATTGATGGTATCTGGAGATAAGGCCTTCTGGAGATAAGGCCTTCGGGAGGTAATTAGATTTAAATGATGTCATTAAGGTGGAGCCCTCACGATGGGACTGGTATTCTTATATTTAAAAAAAAATTTTTTTTAAAGATTTTATTTATTTGCGCGAGAGAGATTGAGAGAGAGCATGAGAGGGAGGAGGGTCAGAGGGAGAAGCAGACTCCCTGCTGAGCAG